AATCAAAAAATCAGCCGGGCATGGTAGCGCATGCCTGTAATTCCGGCTACTCGGAAGGCTGAGGCGGAAGGATCGCCGGAGCCCAGCAGGTCGAGGCTGCGGTGGCCGGGAGTGGCCACTGCACTCCACTCTGGACGACAGAGTGAGACTCCAACTCCAAAAAAAAAAAAAAAGTAAAATTACTGTTTGGCCATGGGGCAACCTTGGATTCCCTTGTGCTTATGGTAGCCAGCAGTAAGGCCAAATCATCATGTGGCCACCTATTTGCAAAGATTTGTTTTACATATGGTATCCACTACACATTTTCTCTGAACAAGATGATTAACAATTTCCTTATTTTCTAGATAAGCTAAGCAATTTATCTTAATTACTGTCAACCTTTCGTGACTACCATGGGGATCTGAACCATTCATTTCAGTAGTAATTATGTGAATTACTAGCTACTTTTCAGACAGACATCTATGAATTTTGGGGTTCTCTGGCATGCATTTTTTTTTTTCCAGCTGAATTTTTGTATGTGCGCACGCGCACGCACACACACACACACACACACACACACACACACACATTCTAAATGAATTCCTATCCTTATTACAGTCAGTCCTCTCCCATGGCACCGTGGCAGACTGTGCTGTTGTTGGCAAGGAAGATCCTTTGAAAGGTCATGTCCCCTTAGCCCTCTGTGTCCTGAAAAAAGGTGAGAGCTTTGTCTTTTCTGATTCTTTTGGTCTTGAATGATTAATCAGGGTTAATTCAGTACTTACCATCTGAACTTTCTTCCTAGATATAAATGCAACAGAGGAACAAGTTTTAGAAGAAATTGTGAAACATGTTAGACAGAGCATTGGCCCTGTGGCTGCTTTTCGAAATGCTGTGTTTGTCAAGCAGTTACCCAAAACCAGATCTGGCAAGATCCCCCGATCAACTCTATCTGCCCTCATCAATGGCAAACCATACAAGGTCAACTAGCAAAGATATTTACCTAGATTCTAAAATGTGTTTCTTCACATCTTTAGCATTATGAAAGTTCTTAAAAATTATTCTCAAACATGAATTACATCCCTAGAAAACATGTGGTAGTAATGTTTTAGGATTAAGGAAGAAATTGCATAGTATTCTCTATGAAGGAATGAGAACCTTAGAAAGAAAATCAGATTAGTTAAGACCATGGCTTTGATAACAAAAACCAGTGCATGAAGATATTTTACTATTAGTTGTTGTCACTTAAATTTAAACACTTCTCTGGAAACAATCCTTTTGAATTGAAAGTATTTTCCTTTACTACAGTCATTAATGGCTATCAGTGCAAAAAACTTGAAACAGGCAATAGATATTTAAAATGTTCCATTGACATATGCTAATGATTTCTCCTGTTTTGTTATTATATATGTAATATGTTTAGGAAATTTGAGGCTGATCAAAGCAAATGTACTCCTTTAATTTGTATGCACATTATGTGTATATATATACACACACATATGCACACTATATATATATGTATATATATATATATATATATACACAATTTTATCATCAAGATCAATAAAAGCCAATGCAACTGTAAGGAGTAAGTAGTTTTATGAGCAAATGCCAAAATATATATATATATTTCTACAGAAACACATAGAAAGAATCTTAAGAGGAACTCTAGAAAAAGTACCATCTAGGACCAATAGATTTGCTAATTGAACCATTTGTTTGTTTTATTATGGATGAATTTTAAAATATTAGGCTCAAAGTTTTTTTATTTTTAACATTTCTATATGAGTATTATAAGATAATTGAGAAAATAACATTGTGTATAATTGTTCAATTATAGAGAGAGTAGAAGGGTTCAAGGAAGAGTCTTCATCTTTATCTGACATTAAATTTCTTTCCAGGTAACTCCTACAATTGAAGACCCCAGCATTTTTGGCCACATAGAAGAAGTGCTGAAGCAGACATCATGACTTTTTTTTGTTGTTTTGAGCAAATTTGAGTTAATTTTTTAATTGAAATTAAGATATTTCAGTTATTTTCCAGAAATAATTATTCAAATAGAAATAATTTGCAAACAGAAATGTGCATTGTAAAATGTGGATCTAAACAAATCTAATGAAAACTATTGAAAGACCTGTGTGTTCTGTTTGATTTGACTTTGTGAATATTGTTATCAGTTGATGGTCACATGGCTCATTATATGTCTCTACTGTTTTAATTCAAGAAAAATGTGTCAGGTGTATGATTTTTAAAAGTTGTACCCTTCAAAAAACATTTTCATGGAAAGTGACACTAGTCTAGATCCATTTTCTAAAATGGAACATGTATAGCTTTGATCTCAAATCTAGACCTCAAGTCAAAATTAGAAAATAATTTGAAAATTTCTTCTGGCAGTTCTGAATATTTTCTAATATTCTTTAGATGCTCACATTGCTTTAAATAAAATAGATGAAATCAGAATTTTAGATAATCATTTAGACAGATGAAATTTTTATCGGTAGGAGAACCTGTGTCACCATTTGTTTTCTGAGAGAAGGCTGGGCATCAGGGTTATAGCTCTGCCTTTAGGTCATTTGTTACTTAGGCAAGGGAAATGTGGCAGAGAATCTAGAGGTCATTTAGTCAAATTGTTTCACAGAAATGAGGGCTCCAGAGAGCCCCTTGTCATGTCTCAGGTTCTTAGCTGTATATATCTTAATGAATCCAGCTTCTTATAGAAATAAGGAAATAATGTACAAATGGGTTGACAAGGAAAACTCCTAAGGAAGAAATGTAACGGTTTTTGCATTAGGCTAAAGACCAGGGGGGCCTTCCAGGCAGAGAGTGTAATGTCAAGGAGCTTTTGAAGAGAACTTGAGCCACTTGGTTGAGTATCAAAAGAACAATAGAAAATGGTGAAGAGTGATCACTTACCCATCCTAAAGAGACAAACCCTGCTCAGTCCCAGCAGAATAAGGCCCAGGAGGGAGACATGTTCCCACTACAAGAATCTCTGGTTTTTAGAGAAATCAAAAATGGAAATTTTTATGTGAAATCTCTTATTTTTAATTATAACTCTTTCAAAATATTATGATGTACTAGTGCATGTTTCCATTTTAAATTCTATAAAATTCTTAAGTATTTTTAAAAATAATTAAAAAGGAAGTCTTTGTCAACAAGCTTGTGGTAATGTGCCAGTTAATGAGAGCAGCTAGATGTGGGTAATCAAATATTTGGTTTACTTAGGATTCTACATAACATTAGTTATCAAATAATATTTTTTAACACAAAGGTATACCATGCTCATTGAATCTTTGATGGTTCTCATAGTACCTCTCAATCTTTTAGTCCATCAGGAACATTATTATCAAGGGTAGATTTTCCTAGCCTAGTAGTCTGGGTACATAAAATAAATGTGAGAGATAATAAATGTTTGTTTCATAAAAATAACTTACAATCTGTATAAAAGCATTCTGAACATATTAACCTTTTTTAGACTGGAAGTCTAAAGACTAAGACTTCTCGAAAGAATTTCTTATTTGTTTAAATGGCCCACCTGATTGTTATACCTGAAGAAATGTATTCATCTACTTGTTTCCTTTAATTATTTTAGTGGTCTTAATTAAGTCAGCTTGATAGACACTGTATAATTTGAAGTTGTTGATTTCCTCTAAGTGTCTCTCCTATTGGGTTTATTTTATCTATTATCACCACCGTAGCCTTTACAAATAGTAAGTTTTTAATGTCTTAACAGTAAAATATATTTCCTTATATTTTTAACATGAGTCTTCTTATTTTTAAACATAATTTGAAATGACAAATTCTTTAGCTGAATGTATGTCATTATTCACGCAAAATATAAATTCAGGCAGATCCAAGAATTACATAAAGGTTACATCATTAGTTTTTTGCACATTTTTTTCTGGTAATCAATTCTGAAGGAAGATGTCAGCAAGCAGGCTTGTGCTATTATCTGGTTGACTGGGACTGGAAAACAGTGCTTAAGATTGGGGTGGTGGCTATTTCCTGTGTCTCATTGAAGACATTTGTCTCCTTTACAGTCAGAGACAGTACTGTTACTTTCATATGACTAAAAATTAAGCAAGAAAGATAAATTCGAGTCATCAGACTTTTTACAATTTAGGAAGAAAAAAGGATTTTAAAAACTTTAATTCTAACCATAAAGCATGTTCACTAGATGGTACCTAAAATATTCTGAATTAAATATGTCTTTGAAAACAAAAATATAATGTCACTAAGAATGCAGTCATACTTAAATTTTCTAAAATAAATTCTGTGTGGTCTTGTTATTTTCTTAATTTTTTAAAAAATAAGACATTGAAGAAATGAAAATATAAAGTACTTTCAAAAATTTATAGACAAATGTTTTCCAATTAATTGAGTTATCTTGCTTATTAAAAATATTAAATGTATTCAAATGCCTTATATTTAAAAATCTGTGATGTGTAAAATTGTATTTGAAAGGTCCTGGTCATTACAAATGTGAAAATTCATATTACTGATGGCCAAAAGGACGAACATTGAGAGTCTGCACTTAATCCACTAAATGGATTTTAAAATCTAGTAAAAATTTCTTATAAATGAAAGCATATTTCATTTATGGATATTTGCACTCCAGACTCTTTTGTATCACTCTGTTAAAGTCTGTTATGAATGACTAATATTTCTTACTTGATATATAAAAGGAAGAAGCTGACTTCGTGATTGAGTAGTATTATAAGAGTATATACAAATATAACTTTGGTATTATAGTATCATAGATCCTATATTATATTTTATTTCTATGAATCAAGTTCTCCATATTCAGATGAGTTTAGAAAGCTCTTTCCCGTTGTTACTGCTCAGTCAACATTTTTAGAATATTTAAAATCACTCCCATATGCAAGTTTAGAACTCCCTCTTGTGGTGGGCTCACTTTTGAAGCTAAATATTAGATTGTGTCACTAAAGAATGCTTTTCCTTATAATTCACAAGTAAACCGTCAAACTTTATGTGACTAGAAAACAAAGCTTAAACAGAGAACTGGAAGTATTGTTTTTATTGACAATGGAGAGGGTTTCTGTTACCATTACCTTTTGACTGAATTTGTTAAACAAAAATAGACATCAAAACAAATGTAATGTACGTGCAAACACAGCAAATTAAAATACAAATTAAAATTACTAATGACAGGTCTTGCGCTTAATAAGATCAAGCAGCAGAAAATCAGCAGTTAGATAAATGGTATTATTAAATAGGTTTTACTTTGAATCTCCCATATAAACAGAGAATAAACAACAGTAACACCACCAAATAAAGCCACAGGGAAGAGATTACTCTTCTATACTTTTATACACTATATATGTTAGTCATTCTGTCTTTCATTTATTTCCTCTGATAAAACTGACTTCAGGGAAGTCGCAACAAGGCCATCTCGGCTAAAAGCTTATAACATTAGACATGAGTCTGGCTAATGCCCTGTTACATTAACAAAAGGGAAGGGTTTCTGGGGTTTTGTTTTTTTCCGGTGGAAATGAGCCTCAGGCTCTGCAGTGGTTCACATTCACTGTTCAGTACTGGCTGGCGGTTCAAGATACTTGAATGAACATGTGTTTCTTAGTAAAGTTTTTTTTTTTTTTTTTCTTGGTCCACAGGTAACAAGAGAAGATAATGGTTTTCCTTCATATAAATTTTTAAATAATTGCTTTTGACTCTTGTAAACAGTTTGGCTTTGTTTTGTATTGAAAAGGAGATCGAGCCATCACAGTGCTATTTCTAAAGTTATAGGACATCCCTGATTGCCTTTAAAGGTCTATTTTTGGCTCCAGTTCCAGGTTAAATCATTCTTTTTTTACATGATCAGAGGCAGGTTGTTCAGCTTTAAGTATTGACAGACTTGAAAGAGAAACATGTTGAAACATGAAACATGCTTCAAGGAAACATATTGATTTGACTGATACAATTCAAAAACTGTAAAAATGGTGGAATGGTAAAATACAAACAGTATTTGGAATTGTCAAATGTTTGCACTCGAGACTCCATGAACCATATATTTTATTTTTTAAAAAATCATATTTATATCCATTTACATAAGACTTACACATTTAAAAAGAAATACACAGTAATACATAAATGCCTAGTATATTACAATAAAACATGAAAAAACAAGTGGCTCCTTTTCATAAAAGCATCTGTTGTACAGAATTTATGATGTGGATGATAAGTATTATTCAAATGACTTAAGTATTGTATTACAATTTTAGTAAACTAATCAAACTTAATATCTGACTCCCCCCCCAAAATCACATTTTTCAGCTTTTAATAAATCATTACTTGTCATTATTTCTTATAATTCAGTCTTCACAAAGGTTCTCTTTGCTCGTCTTAGATGGTAGTGCACTTTAGGTAGAGTAGACTGAAAAGACGACATCTAAAATACATAATGGACAGTGTTAGTTCACTGAAAGACCTCAGCCTGGAAAATCCCACTCTACTACTTTGTAGTACACCTCCATATATCCTGCCTAACCCTGTCCCAAAAGATAACGAAAAGGAAATAATCTAGGATATAACCAATACCTGTGTGTAATTAACATTTGCTCTTCTTAGTTTTGTGCAGGGGTGCCTAATAAATAATAAAATTTCCACAACTTTGTGAAAAATGGGACAGCATTATAAACAGTCACACAAAAAGTTAGCATGCCTTGTGAAAAACTTACAACTTTTTAATTAATAAATTGGGTTGAGTTGACCTATTTCCAAGAATAGATTTATATTCTAGTTCATATATCTTAGAGCTCCTAAAAAGATACCTTTAATTGTGACAAAAAATCATAATAATAAATATCTTATGGGGTCTGTGTTAGTTATATAGGCATTCTTGATTTTTTTTTTTTTTTTTGAGGAGTCTCACTTCGTCGTCCAGGTTGGAGTGCAGTAGCACGCTCGCGGCCACTGCAGCCTCGACCTGCTGGGCTTGGGTGATCCTTCCACTTCAACCTTCCAAGTAGCTGGAACCACAGGCACCAGCCGCCACACCCAGCTAATTTTTTCATTTATTGTAGAGACGAGGTTTTGCCAAGTTGCCAAGCTGGTCTCAAACCCTTGGACTCACGCAGTCCTCTTGCCTCCACCTCCCAAAGTGCTGGGATTACAGACATGAACCACACCACCCAGCTGCATCCCTGATTCTTTCTTACCATGATATACTTAGGAAAAGCTTACAATTACTACTACTAACACAAAAGAAACAGGTAAATAGTATGCTCTGAATTATTTTCAATAACATAAATGTTAACATTTCACCAAAATAAAAATTGAGTTGTCTTAGATTTGACTTATTGTACATAAATACTGTTATCCCATTTTGTAGTAAAAACTAGGAAATATGAATTAGAATGCCATGCACAGTAAACTGATTGCAAATAGAGTTATTCTACTCATTAGTCAAGAGCTAAGAAGCAAGCACTATTCAACATATTAAATAGTCATTTGTAAATTAGTGGAGTGTTCAGTTCCTGAGGAAATTATCATATTATGTGTAGAATGTATTATCAACAGTATTTTGGAAAGTCTCTTATTTAGTCAAATTATTATATAATTTAAATCGTGTCTAATTAGATGCCCAATTGCATACTGTAATTAAATTTATAATGTTAGGGTTGTACATTCCGAAATTAAATCTCTGATCTGAATGTTTTTGTTTTATCAGTTTCAAATAGTGACCCAAATAAGACAGCATATCAGCTCCCATATTAGACCCAAAAGGCCAACAATAAATTATGTGGAGCTTTTAGTTCAAGGCAATGAATAAACAGCACAAGGCAAGCTGTTCTTCCATCTATAACTGCTTCCTCTTCTTATCCCTCTGCACACATTTAGTTCTAAATATTGCTCTTTTAAGTATTTTTTTTCAAAATATTAATTTATTGAAAATGGCAAGATATTTTGGCAAAGCATAGTTTTAGATTTAAAAAGTTATGAACATTTGACACTTACAAATCTAGGAAACCACAGTTTTACGAATAAGACCGTTTTCAGTAAAACCCCATTTTTATATAGATTTGAGAGTAGCTTTCATTTATTAGTATTTCTCTAAATACAAATGCCTGGTATCTTATGGTTACATAACAAGATTGTGTACCAATCCTATTCTCCATTCTTACAAAATAATTTTATTTTGTTCCTATGGTATAAGTCTCAAATACTTAAAATTCATATTTGTTTTTAACAATATGGATCAAATTGAATTAAAAAGTACTAGAAGTTCACATTTTTCAGTTTTTACTTTTGTCTTCAATATGAAACAACCGCTAAATCATTTTCCTATGTGCTACTATTTGATTCTGAGAAGTTGTTTAAATCACTGTCTACCTTGGTTTCCTTATATAAAATATACACTCAAAAATATGTGATTTTTAAGTGTCAAATTCTTATCAATAAAATGCTATGTGAATCAATATGAGATGGTAACTAAAAAGTAGAAAGCAGTGTGGTAGCAACCCATCAATATGTAATAGAGTGACAAGTCTCCGACAGACAGACCTTAAACCATAGCAGACAGATGGTTATGGGAAATATTAGATTAAAAGGTACAATATAAAGATTCCTTCCCTCCCCCATAGTAATTCAAAAGGGTCATCTCACCTCTGTACTGCTAGGCCATACCAAAGAGTATAGTGTATATTTACTAGTCTATGTAGGTTCCAGTTTTTTGTTGCTGTTGGTTTGCTTTTGGTCAGCCAAAGGGAAACTACTCACAGCAGGTCAGTGCTGCCTCCTTTGAGTGGCTTGTCAACATGAGTATGTGCGAACAGTGGAGTTGTCTAACCTCTGCAGTCTTGATGAAGCAACTGCAAATGGAGAAAAGGGCTTTAGAGGGATTTGGATGATTGAGTACAAGATTTCAGATGAGAAAGATTTATTTTCTCTGCACAAAGGGATTCTAAACATATTCATAGACCTTCTTTCTCAGATACAAGCCACTCATATTCCTCTTCTCTAGATCAGGCTACTAATGAAAATTTATCTCAGTGTAATTCAGCTGAGCTTTCCAATTATGTATTCCTCCTTAGATGAAATCAGTAACAAGAAGAGCTCCCCAAAGTGCTTCTGTTTTTGATGTGAAGATTGCTCTTAAAGAATTCATTGTGGGGGATACTTTTTCCCTCCAAGTATTGAAGAACTTCTATACTAACTTTAATCGTGTCAAATCCCTCATGAATTTTGCTTACATGTTGCACAATATTAGCAGGTTATAAGAAATGCAAATCAAAGATCACAGTTTATGTTGGAATTAATTTTAAGAGTCATAGTAGCTATGTGATCAGCTTAAAATATCTAGGCGATCATCTTAAAAATAATTGAGATTATTTTTATTTAATGCTTCCCAAACAAAAAATAATGTTGTGACTACTACTTCAAAGGTGTCTGTCCTCCAGAATGGTGGTTTTCTTTTGAAAAGTATGTGACACAAAGTCTAATGTCCACAGAAAGAAATTACTGTTGGGTTCATGTTTGTTTAATCCTCATGGTTGTGCCTGTTTATTTAAGGCCTTCTGTCTTGGTCAGAGGTTAAAAAAAAGTATATGATGAGTTTGGATTACTAAGATGACATATAAAACTTGCAGTATTTAAACATGTAAGGTGACAGTGGAGTTAATTTCTATTTGCTAAGCACCTTTACTCCCAATCCAACCTCTAACTCAAACAAAGTATTTATTTTGGGAATAGACATCTAAAGAAACACAAATATGCAGTTGTTTATTGTTACTCCTAGATGTGGACATTAGTAAATTGTTCTTTAGGGATGTTATAAATTATTTTGAAAATGTGAATAAAGTGCCATGAGTTCATGCATTAGCAGTTTACAAAGAAGTCTGGTTTTTGATGGAAGCAAAGTAAATTTCAAGCAGAGCAAACCAACTAAAGAAAATAATCAATTCCAGAAAGCTATGCAAAGTCAGAGAATGTATACTATCTTTTGTTAAACAAGCCTTTTACTTTATATGCAGCAATGCAAAACTACTATACCATCCGTTGTCATTTTCCTTGACTGCCCAGATGTTGTGGTTAACCTAAATCCAGCTGGTAGTGTTTCTGAGGACCCAGGCATCATGCTGATTCCATGTACTTCACGAGGAGGAAACTGCCTTCTCCAGGTTGAGCCACGTCGAAAGTTCTTGTCATCACTCTGCCAGTATAGAGTTATAATTTGATGTTACAAAAGCAAGTAAACTAGTCCAGGTGCTTAAGGCCTGTGCATAGAAATATGTAACATACTGTATTATTTATACTAGTCTGACATGTACACACATGGAATCTTACATTTTTTCTAGAGAGATCCATGAATTCAAAATGAGAATGTAGGATATTGATACAGAAATGTACTCATAAATTTTTTTATGTGATTTTAGATCTAAGGTTTGACATTTATACAGTAAGCATCTTTGAAAACCTAAAATAAAATATCTAAGTTTTTCCAAAAGGAATACTGGATATTTGTTATAATTTATGCCAACTGGTTTTTGCTACGAGATAATACACTTAATTGAATCAGTTGTGGAGTAGACATTTGACTCAGACACTTGAATGATGTCATTTTTATGTACACAAAACACAACAGAGATATATGTTGTGGGGAAATCTATATTTGAGATGATGTGGCTAATATGGGATACTATAGCCCATAATATGCGTAAGAAAATTGTGGTATATATAATGATGGAATATTATGCAGCCATAAAAAAGGACAAAATTATGGACTTCGCAGCAACTTGGATGGATTTAGAGTCTACTATACTTAGTGATCTATCACAGAAACAACTGAGTACCACATGTTCTCACTCAGAAATGGATATTGAACATTTAACATAATACTACAAGAAAGTGATTGGCAGTAGCGGGATACTATAGGGTGGGTGGGAGGAGCAGGTGGGGGCACATAACATCAATAATGGTTCCTCATACCAAACCAGGAGAAGTGAAGACCAGTGGGAAGCCCAGATTTCACCTGTGTGTTGACCACTTATATACCTAATCCTGAATTATACCCCTCATCTTTAAAATATAAAAAAAAAATCGAAAAAATAAACTCAATGTGTGATTTGTAAAATTTCAGGTGATACAGAATGATATAGTCTGGATTGTTGTCCCTCCAAATCTCATGTTGAAATGTAATCCCCCAGGGTTGCAGGTGGGGCTAGGGAGAGGCGTTTGGGTCATGGGGCAGATCTCTCATGAATGGTCTGGTGTCTTTGTGGTAATAAATGAGCTTCACTCTATTAGTTCATGCAACAGCCAGTTTTTTTTGTTTTTTTTTTTTTTTTTGAGTTGGAGTCTCACTCTGTCACCCAGACTGGAGTGCAGTGGCCGCTCCCGGCCACCGCAGCCTCGACTTGCTGGGCTCCGGCGATCCTTCCGCCTCAGCCTTCCAAGTAGCCAGAATTACAGGCATGCGCTACCACGCCCGGCTGATTTTTTGATTTATTGTGGAGATGAGGTCTCACTGCCCAGGCGGGTCTCGAACCCGCGGGCTCAGGCAATCCACTCACCTCAGCCTCCCAAAGGCGTGGGATTACAGGCTGAGCCACCGAGCCCGGCAAGCCAGTTGTTTTAAAGAACCCAGTATTCCTCCTCCCTTTCTCTTGCTTTCACTTTTGCCATGTGACATGACTTCTCCCTCTTCATGTCTGCCTTCTACCTTCTGCCATAACTGAAAACCTCCTGGAGCCTCACTGGCGGCCCAGAAGTTATTGGTGCCACGCAGAGCTGAGAGCTAAATAAAACTCTTTTTAAAATTAAGTTACTCAGCCTCAGGTATTTCTTAATAGCAATGCAAAATAGACTAATACACAGAATTAACTTGTAATTTGTTGAAAAACCTGTGCAGCCAGTACACCATCCTTTCAGTAAGAACATGTGCACATAATGTAACTCTGATTACATTATACTAATGTAATGCCGCCTGTTATGTCTGTTATGAAATAATCTCTTTCCTTTCTGTATACATACAAAATACAATTATTTTCCTCTAAATTGGTAATGAACAACATGTAATTTTGCAACTAGCATATACTTTGTATCTAGTTCTCAGGACAATATTAATCATCCCACATATATCTGGTCTTCTCATCTCACTAAGTTTCTCACCTAGAGAGTGACTATCTACCCTGAAGTTTTAACCAAGTATGTGTTGTTTACCCTAATATCTCATTTGACTTCATTTTGACATACAGAATAATAGGATATTCAGCTCAAATTATCATTGTTATAAGTGAATATAAGTTTATAGTGATAAATCTCCCTCATAGATGACTAAATTAATTGTCATTTAAAGTGAATCAGAGAAAAATAAAATCATTTATATATAATTACATATATCCACTGTTAAAATCCCTATCATTCATGTCTAAATTTTGTTTCGATTTGGTAGCTGTTTTGCAGGTTAAGAGATACCTGCTACTATTCTCAGCTGCTGTGTTTTACATTGCTCTTGACCTCCAAATGCTTATACATATAGAAAGAAACAGAATTTCACAATTGCAGACTTTTTTGATTCCTGGAGAAGTTATTACAGTATGCATAAATAGTCTTCACTTCTACAAAACACTACATTATACTATAAGGCTATACAGCTCCCATAGTGTCTGAGGCAAGAGCTTAAAAACAAGCCAATTAATGGAAAATTTGAATGACGATTCCTTCCTATTGCTCTTTTGACATATTTTGACTGTGAAACAACAGGAACGATATGCAACAACATCATAGGGGTAAAGTTTCCATTAGCTAGGGTTAAAAGACAGTAAATGAAGTCAAGATCTATCAAAGCACATCAATACTTCTCAGATTATTTCGGTGAATGTAATCAGCAAAGTTCCTGAAATAAGTCTACTCTGCTTCTCAGATAGTTTGACTATTTTTGCTCATGCTCAAAAAAAAAAAAGAATAAAAAAGACTATAGCATTTGAATGAAAAAATATATGTTGTGTTTTTTTTAAATAATAAAAAGAGGCAGCATATTTTAAAGGCAGATAATCACATCCCGTTTAATTGGCTCAATAGACTTTTCTGCTTGTTCATTACTATTGGGAAGCAACACTACAACCTATATAATAAGCTAGTGTTTCAACCTGGACAACTTCTGAAGGCGAATCTACATTTTAGAATGTACCAATATAACAAATCTTCAATCATTTTCCTTAAAATGTTTTTTCAACTTTTAAGTAAGAATAATCATATTTTTGTGTGTATGAGTTTATAAGGCTACCTTTTTGACACCACAACTTAGAATAAGGATTAAAAAGACTGTAAAACAACTTATCAGGCTGGATTTTAAAAAGATATTAATCAATCATTATTTTGATTGGACAGGAGTATGAATTTATCTGAAGTTAGCTGAGTTCAAGACTGTAGAGCTTACCTCTCTGTAATCTCCTTCACAAAAGACAGTGTGAGTTTTATAAGACCAGGATTATCTGTCCTGCCCATTTGAATATGGAATTATTGACCCATTTTAGGATTTGCTGAGTTCATTCAAAATTTTATTTTAAGCAGTTTTTTGTTATAGACAAGAAACACCCGCACTTTGCAATGGGATTATGCATCTCTGTATTTTCTACTTCCTACTCGGGTTTTCTCCACTTCTTCCAGTAAAGGACCTGTAATAAACTTGTCAGGACTGTTAAAGTGTCTATTAATCCACAGCATTTGCTGATATCCCTCGAATTCATTCATCTCAGGAGGGAACTTACATGTTTATTATTTTCTAAATGATTTAAATGTGCATATATTATGTATAGAGATTATTATATTCAATACAGCCTTCAAATCCTATGAGTGTTACAATGTTATTCATCTGCTTGTAAAGAAAACTCAGCATTGACATCTAAAATAATGAAATCTAATTTATCAAAAGTAAGTTTTCTTTCACATCAATATCATGCAATTTTCTGGGACGCCATCCTGATATTTAAGAGACAAACACATTCTTTATTAAAAAGCTGAATTTATCAATACTACTGTTTTAATAATTCTTTTTTTTAATGCTGTTCAATATTTCACAGTTACAGTCCTTAAAAAAGTTTCCTTTAAAATTACTGTTTAGTATTTCTAATTGCTGAAGTGAACATATTTATGATTTAATAAAGTTTTTTCCAAAATTAAATGAGTAATATAACTTAATATTTAAGAACAATCCTAGGGAAATCTCTAGATTCTACCCATAGAACAGGCTTATGATTAATTTCCAAGCATTATTTCTTTTTCTTTTTTTTTGAGTTGGAGTCTCACTCTGTCACCCAGACTGGAGTGCAGTGGCCGCTTCCAGCCACCGCAGCCTCAACCTGCTGGGCTCTGGCGATCCTTCCGCCTCAGCCTTCCAAGCAGCTGGAACTACAGGCGCGCGCTACCACGCCTGGCTAATTTTTGATTTATTGTAGAAAGGAGGTCTCATGAAGTTGCCCAGGCAGGTCTCGAACCCACGGGCTCAGGCAATCCTCTTAACTCGGCTTCCCAAAGTGCAGGATTACTGGCTGAGCCACTGAGCCCGGCCGTATTATTTCTTAAAAACAAGGATGTTACATTCTTTTTCTTATGCTTTCTAAGATCCCCTTTGAATGCTAGGCAAGCACTTACTTCATCCAGTCGCCTTTCAGTTCCCAGGGCCAAGAGGTTATTGTATTCCCTTTCAAGAATCTGCCTTGCCTGTTGACATCAAATTATAGTTAGCATCACTGAAATAACATTATATTTTAAAAATTATATGAATTATATTTATCTGAGAATGCATAACAATGTTTTTATTTATGGGTTTTAATTTCTTTTAGTATTCCATGTTTTTACTCCATGAAGTTATTGTAAATTTTTGCCACAAATATAAAGAACAATTTTCTTTTGTCTGTACATAATAGAGAGCTGATCTTGCAAAAATGAGGCCAAGATGCTTTGATCTCACTGTATTACTTTATTCCAGTTGAGTATTTGATATGAACTTTAAAATGTGTAAAAAAAAAAAATTGAAGTTGGATGCCAGATTTTTATCAAATCTATGCAGGTAATTCTTAAACCTGGCCAATGATCATCATTTGGGGACAGTTTAGACAATAAAGATTCATGTGCCATATCTATTGATATCTGGTTTCTTAGGACTATGATGTAGATTATAAGTTTTATTTTTAATTTGTTAGGAACTATAGTGATTCAAATAATTATACAGAGTTGGGAATCACAAGCATATCCAATGCTAAATGTCTGTAAAATTCAGACATGTAAATGAAAATGACTGCCTCCCAGAGAGGCAGAGACTGAAGGCCATCTGTCAGGGATTTTATTTTGTGGAATCTAGCATTCAGGTGGGAGATTGGGCCACATAACCTCTATTTCCCTTTCTGTTTAATTTTATGATTTTGTTTTGGTTGGAAATCTAGTAGCTTAAAATTAAAACCCTAGTGACATGTTTCAAAGGTTGAGATAACTTTCATTAATAATCATGAGTACACAGCCGATTTTTTTTCCTAAAAGTTTAGTTTATCATTATAAACCAGAACTTATACAGCAAAAAGAGACTTGCCTGGGTGTTCTGTGTCGGAATCTGTAATAATAAAGCTAAGCTGCTGTAGTCAAAGTTCTCATCCAAGGCTATCAGTGAGCCATGCACACCGCTCTCAAGAATATTATTTGCATATTCTCGAAGTCCAATCGCTTGTATCCAGCGAATAACTCGATCATTGCTCCACACCAACACATCTAGGAAAAGAGAAGCGTTATTTCAGGCTGCAGTCATTTGCTTAATGGAACCACTGGCTGAAATGAGCCATAGTTATCAGGCCAGGTCACATCTGTGCTGAGTTATCTACTCTCTAACGCACCTGGTTCCCTTCTGTTCTAATAACCTTTTCTATCTTAGGTCTAGAAAAAAAGTTATTTTCAGAGTATTTGTTATAATAAAATGACAGCACTTCCGAAACAAGGAACGGTCTCAGTGTTTCTTGTTTTCTCATACTAGAACCCTAGGGGGTCCAGCTGAAATTCAACATTCTTACCACCAGATGGAGACATTCCTAATTTATGCCTGGATAGCTCGTCAGTAAACAGCACAGTGCGATTCTAATGTCTTTTATCAGAAGAGTTTATTAACCACTACTTAAATAATGCATATAGAATAGAAGATACTTTTTAAAAAACCTGGAGTAATAAGTAAGAGCATAACCTAAATAATCTAGAATAATTCTTGGCTTACTATTGACAATTCATTATTTTCCAATCACATACTAATGCAAAATTCAGGCACTCAGTAAAAAGTTACAAGTTGTTTCTGCTTTTTTTAAAACAATATTTTATTGAGGTAAAAAGCACTTTTGTTTTTACTTTCTAAAAATGAATCCTTTAGAGAATAATGTATTGTGCTCCTTTTTTTTTTTTAGACAAAAACAAATTAAGGTATATTTTATCATTTATTTCCTGTCACTTATTCCCATTATGAGCTGGCAGGATGTTGTATAAAAACTAGTAAAGTAATCAGAAGAATTAGAATAGTCCATAGAAAAGAAATAATTTTAAGAAACTTAAGAGAATATGAGAAAAAATTAAAAATTTGTTCCTACTTGTAAAAAGGGAAATGAAATTATAATTACTATTAAAGTAAAGGGAAGTTTTCCTTCTAATTTTTTTCTTTCTGAATAAAACACTATTTTCAGAAAAAAATTATAAAAATATTCTTCAACTTCAGCTGTTTATTTTCCCTCATTTCAATTATCTGCAATATCAGGGTAGTGGGCTTGAGGAGAGAATATGATTATATTGTCTAAGTTTTTCAAGACCATTATTAATTTGTGCTAATATAGTTATTTATAAACAACTTAGGTTTTCTTGGGCATAACATTATAACAATAAAGTAATAGTGCAGTCCCACCAGGTCCCCTCATGCACCTTCTCAGTCATTACCCTCACACCAACAGTATCTAATATTCTCACTATTCTCCTTACAGATTAACCTTGCCTGATTTTCTCTATGGGATTCACCTTTGCGTTGGCAAATAGCAGTGACTTGTTCATTTTCATTGCTATTTAGTATTCCAGTACATGATTATGTCACAATGTATCCAGTCTACTTTCATTGTCTCCCTGGGTTAATTCTGAAGTGTAGCTTTACCTGAGTTTTCATTAGCTTGTTCCTTTGAGTCTTGGGCTCTCAGAAAATGGGATGTGAGTTGGCTGGTATTATATTTTGACTGTATTATCAGCTGCTGTTGGCAGGAACTGATTCCTTATAGGTTACCCTACACTTGAATTTTGAAAGCTAGGCAGGTACTTATGGTTGACAACAATAGTTCTTCACCTAATTCTAATAAATTCAACATCTTTCTAAACCAATGGGAAAATACTATCATCAAAAAAAACAGCAAACATTACCCCGTTTTCTTTGCGCTAGATCGATTTGTGAGTAGGAACCATCTTTTTTCCCCGAGTTAAATTGAAATTTTGATAGTCTGTGATATATTATGTATGAATCATATTTCTGTAAATGTATGCCCATCAAAAATTTTATTGTCACACCTATATTTAAGAGTGATCAAATATGTAAAATAATGTATTTATGATGTGAGGGCAAATCAATTTTTTTTTCTTCAGAGCAACAATATATCCCTTTTCTTTCATTTTGTAAATCAGACAACCCTTTCTATGAATAAGCTTCTAAAGTAAAATATATGCCCTGACTTAAAAGCTTTGTAAGAATTATCTGGACATAAACAATAAGTGACTAGAGATCAGTGTTGATTGTTTCCTAGCAACAAACTAAATGTCAGTATATTCTTGATATTCACATGGTCTTCTCACTTCAGAAACCTATTCTTTAAGGTCAAGGTTAATTAACACTTCAGATAATAATATAGACCCCTTGTCAAAGGTGAGTTATTCTGGCAAATGTCATCAGATCAGTCATAGGAAATGGGGGCTATTTATGATCACACTCACAGCTGACTTGTCACATGGAATTGTTTGTAAATCATGGCAGTTTTTGTTTTGTTTTGTTTTGTTTTCAGGCCTACACTCTAACCAGCAATTGCCAAATGCTAATATGTTGGTGTAGGGCCAAATAGGTAATTCCTTTTCTTTAGATCTATCATTTGTACATGAAACATTTCATCTGGTGAGCCTCGGCATAATAAAATCTAATTGCAAAAGAAAAAAAGCTTCAAAAAAAAAAAAAAAGCTAGAAAGTTCTATCCCATGACTAAAATCTATGTGTGCTAAAACATCCTTTGTTTGGTCAAACTTACTTCTGGGATCTGACTTTGATCCATTAGTTCCCAAATTTCAATTCAACTGACCAACAATGCACTGAAAACAACCTGCAATTTACCAGGACCCTAAAATAAAGTGAAATCAAACAACTCAATTTTGACAATAGGAAAACACTTTCTTGCTCCTAAGTAGTGAGTCAGATGAAGTGTTACAAGAAATCCATTGTGTATGTCTACTCAACAATGAACCATATATAGGAAAATATTTTAACCAATCCCTTTCATTTGCATTCAAGCCTATTCTAGTCGAACTAATGTAGTTTCCAAGAACTGCCAAAGTAAAGGTAACTTCTGGCATTGTTTATCACATATGAAAATTATAGAAGCCTAAGGCAGGTGATCTTAAATAAATAGAACAGTGCTCAACTTTAATTCTGGGAACTGGGGGTAACATATAATACATACTATTTTCTTATCTAAAGTAAGCTCTAAAAGAAGTAAAGATGAAAATACTTATGCCAAACTTTGAACAATTGATGTAATGTACAAATACCCACTGAATTTGATACAATGCTTGCACATGTCAACTCTTGGGCAACAGGAAATGAAAAAATAACTGATAAATATTTTTACATTTGAACTTTTTCTTAAAAATTTTGGTTATGTTTTCCCCAATAGGCATTTTTCTTCTCTAAACAACAAAAGTGGATCGATTGATTTTATCGAAAAAAAGACCTACACATTATCTTAAGTGAAACAACTCAGAAGCAGAAAGTCAAATGACATGTGTTCTAACTTACAAGTGAGAGTTTAGTAATGTGTGCACATGAACAATGAATGCAGAATAACAGACACTGGAGACTTGGAAGAGTGGGGGAGTAGGAGGGGGGTGAGGAATGAGAAATTACTTAATGGGTATAATGCACGTTATTGGATGATGGACATGGTGAAAGCATGGACATGGTGAAAGCATATTACACCATGATGTAATATATCCATGTAAGAAAACTGCACTTGTATCACTTAAGTTTATGCCACAAAAGACCTATATCTTATATCTAACAATGTATTTTTTCCTTTGTATTTTGTTAACAACAAAAATAACAAAAAAATACAATGATTTCTAACAAGAATAGGATCTAACATATTCCTCTTTTAAAACTATTATTTCCCCTGTATATTTATGTACTTCTCAACATTTAGATGGTTAATTATTAAATATGGTACTTTTCAAATAAACCTGAAATATGGAGTGTGTTACCTTATTATTCAAATAAAATACTTTGGATAGATAATAGTTGTAGCAACTAACAATGCCTCTAAAATTATTTCTAGCTAAAATTATTAATAAACTAGTATAGTTTATAGGGGAAAATCCTTATATCATTTCTACATAAAATCCCTTTGCACTTTCTTTAACTATATGGAACTAAAAAAAATAAAATTGGGGGGCACTAAAAAAAAATTCAAATGACATAAACCCAAAGATGAACTGCCATAAATATGGTATACCATGTTTCTCTCAATCATAATGAGAATTTTCCATGAAAAGTTTGTCAAAAATATCTACATGGAAACATCTTTAGTACAAGCAGAATGTATAATTAATAGATTCAGAGTAACAAATCTTACTTCAAAAGCTCAAGAAAGAGCCCCAAATGAGATAGTCACCCTATAATATGGTAGTACCTTTTTCTGTATTTTAATTTTAAAAGTAATGGAAAATAAAGTATGGCACTTCTAGCCAAATACTTATGCTACCTAGTCATCAATGTAACACATGTACACATATTTGGTTCATATAAGTGAAAGCTAAAAACACCCCAGAGAAAATGCATTTCATATGAAAGAAAGACATATTACCTTTTATTTCATGTTGGCTTGCTTCCCTTCTTCTTTCTAGTTCTTTTCTATCATAATTCAACCTCTTTAAGCACATAATTCCATACTGTAAACTTGTTCTGTTATTTTTTTTTTTTGGAAAGAAAACACATTGAATTCACTCAGCAGGTGAGGAAAGTTACTGGACTCGTCATAGTCAACACTATGCACTGCTTACTATGGCAACAGGTTAATAAATTAGATTTGAAATTAAATCCTTCAGTTGATGAAAGATACACTTAAAATTATATTATTCTAAACACAAAATGACCTAAAGGATAGAAAAAATATTTTCAAAATAAGAAAACCAGTGTTTTGAAATAATCATGGGTTGTGCTGCTCATCTATAAAGTCTTTGTCTTCCATTTATTCCTACATTATGTGCAGACAAATTAATATTTTATTCACTTAAAAAGAATTCAAACTTTTCATTGTGGAGACAATAAGGAATTTATAAGAAATGGCTACCCTCTCAAATCATTCTATGAAAACGATAACTGCGCATGCATGTTTATTGCAGTATTATTCACAACAGAAAAAACATGGAATCAACCATGCTGTCCATCGAAAGAGGACTGGATAAAAAAAATGTGGTATATATGTATGATGGAATATTACACAACCATAAAGAAGGGCAAAATTATGAACTTTGCAGCAACTTGGATGAACTTTGCAGCAACTTGGATGAACTTAGAGGAAACAAAGAACTGAGTACCACATGTTCTCATTCATAAGCAGACCTTGACAACTATCGTAATACTATAAGAGAGGGATTGGCAGTAGTGGGAAACTACCAGGGGAGGGGGCGCCATACTTCATCAATATGTACTAGGAGAAGATTTTCTTCTCAAAATTTTCCCAGTATTTTTTTCCAGTATTTCCCTAACTTATAAAACTTATAACCACATATTTGGGTAGAGTTGAAACAACAAATATTTATTGGTCATAAAAAATTTTATAATATTAACACATATGCCTATCACACTGACAAACATGGAATTTTTTTAATTGGCAAAAAATAGACTGCATAATTAGCATTTGTATACCTAACCCTGAATTATACCCCACATATTTAAAATCAAAAATGTCAAAAAAAAAAGAAAGAAAGAAAAAGAAATGGACACCCTCTTCTTAAACTGGATGAGAAAGATAACATAAAACCAGGAGAAAGGTAACAGGATAGAGAACTGATACAAAGTTGAATAGCACATAACTCTTAGTGATACAGAAGCACGAAAAAGAACAAGTCAGCAGATACTGAATCTGTGTGTGAAAAGGATATTGTGAAAGAGCAGAAAACTGACTGATCCTTAAAGGATTAAGTAGCAGAAAAAGGATCATTAAGGAGAATGGAGCCTCATGAACATAGAATCGCAGATGAAATTTTAAAGTGTCGTGATAGCAAGACACACTGCCCAGAGCTGAAAATCCATGCTAAAAAGGACCACACTTACACATGGGAGGTGGGGGTATGTTAGGGAAAGCCTTGCATTTTGTATGAGTATGAAATATATCCAGGTAATAGAAAATTATTGGACTATTTTCAGAGGGGAAAGAAATGATAATACTTTTCTGTTCAAGGATGAATAATCTGGTAGCAAAATAGGGGATGAGAGAAATAAGTGATCCTAAGAGACAGGGAAACCACTTAAGGGGTCATTGCTGCCAAAATAAGGACATCAGCTGTGAACTTGAAAAGAAAATCCAGAAAACAGAGATGTTCAGAAGGAGGAGATAAGAAAACTAATGAAACTAGATGTGGAAGTGTTTGGTAGGAAAAAATAATCTCTAGGTTTCAAGAGCAAAGATCATTGACTGTCAGTGGGTTCTTAAGTGTTTAGGAACATACACAAATTTAGACACACGCACAGGTCAGGCCATGCTTAAGTGTCGGATGTATTTCTGAGTCCTGCCTTTTCATAAAAACTATGTTGAGTCATATATTTTAGAATCAGAAAAAGATGGAAAGAAAACTGCATTAGGTAGATGTTGTGGGGTTAATTATGTTCCCTTAAAATATATATGTTGAAGTTCTAACCCTCAGCACCTCAGAATGTACTGGATATAGGGCCTTAAAGAGATAATTAAGTTAAATGAGGCCATCAGGGTGGGTCTTAATCCAAACTGACTAGTGTCATTGTAAGAAGAAGATTTTTGGGCACACAGAGACACTAGGAATGAGCATTCACAGAAGAGAAAACATGTAAGAACACAGAGAGAAAGTGGCCATTGGCAAGTCAAGAAGGCCTCGAAAGAAATTAGACGGCCTTGATCTTGACTTGATATAAAAGTCAGACCTCCTTGATGTTGACTTCTTAATCTCAAGCTTCTAGCATCCAGAACTGTGAGGAAAAAAAAGTTTCTGTTGTTTAAGTTACACAGTCTGTGGTCTTTTGTTTGGACATTCCCAGCAAGTGAATTCAGTATGATACCGAATAATACTGATATAAAGGACATCTTAAATATTAGGCAGCTTGAAATTAAGCCAAGGGTTCTTGGCTAATTTCTGCCAAGTTTTACATGAAATACGAAATTGTACTATAAAGAGGATATAATATTCTGGCAATGTCTGTTAGATGGAAAACTAGGCTAAAACGATTCAACATGCCATCAGAAATTACCTGTTTTAAGTCAGAGATTAGCATAACATAAAAATGAAGCTTGTATAGTGACAGAATAAGAATGCTGCCACTTGAGTAATTTTTATTGGTTTTAAAAATACTTTACCATTATCAGAATTATTTTTATCAAAATAGTAAAGCGTACTAAAAGTTGATCTAATAAAGAATGGGAAAATCGAACCCAAGTGCGTTGTAAAAAATTATTTTAAAAGTCTAATGCAACCAAATGAAATTTGAAGGCCTAAGCTTCAGTGACAGACAACTCACTCACTGCCTCACACTATATACACTAAAGGGCAATTGAGAGTGTTACAAAATTGTGTTTTATGGTGAGAAGAAATCACCTCCCTGATGTCTACACCTGTGTTAATTAGAAAACTACACACTCAACAGACAAAATATTATTCTTCTATCACATAATTATGATATTAAAAAATAAGAAAACTTATCTAAAATTTTCTTCAGCCAAGTTAAATGTCTTTAATTTCTTCAACCTTTCTATTGGACTTTTACTACTTTATCACAATATGATATTATAAATGAATACAGTTTCTTTTGTTATCACACAACATGATAGCAGTTGTGTGGTCCCTGACAATAAATACAATCTAAATATGCCTTGTCATTAAACAAAACTGAGATTCTTGGGTCAACTATAAATTCCTTATTTTTTTTTTTACATAAATGACTATTATAAATTCTCCATCCAGCATTTTATTAGATTTTTTAACTGTCATATTTATCTTTACCAAATTAATTCAACAGTGTCAACAACTGCATTAGAATTCAAAACATCTTCATGAGTTGGAATGAAAAGCCCTGATTATTATCTATTTATCCTAATTTTATTCATCAGCATATTTAATTTTATATCATCTTTATTTGACCCACTAATTAAATGTTGGACAGGAAAGGACCAAACAGAGTTTTTTAACCAAAATCATCTAAGTTTATGCTTGTTAATTTATTATATAATAATCAACTATGTATAAAAAACCAAAATCCAACTGACATTTTTCAGTCTGTTATAACAAGCCCTTTTCTTCCTGCTAAATAGTAAACAAGTTGAAAAAAGAGACATTTTATTCATCTATGTATGTCCTCACAGCTGTCTAACAACCCACTCTTTTTTTAATGAAAATTAAAACACAAATAAGCAAGAGCACTACAAGATTTATATAAAAATAAAAAGCACAAATATGTCCTAGGAGAAGACGTTCTTCTCAAAATTTTTTCTAGTATTTCCCTACATTATAAAATTTACAACCACATATTTGAGTAGAGTTGAAACTACAAAAATTTATTTATTGTTCATAAATAATTTTATAATATTAACACATATACCTATCACACTGTCAAACATGGAATTTTTTTAAGTAAGCAAAAAATAGACTTATGCTCTATGAGTAGAATTATGTGCACATTAGTTCCTTAAACTTTGGGCACATAATATTCATATAGCTTTACATGAGATAGTCCCTGAAGTTTGCTGCACAAAAATATCTTCAGTAGATGTACACAGATATTTTAAATAGCATATATTTTCTATCACCTAAGTACCCATTTTTGTTTTAGTAAAGTATGTTATATATTATTTCCTTTTCATTAATCTTTGGCCAAAAACTCCCCCAAAACAAAAACCTACCGATGGAAACTATCCACCATTTTTAAATGCACACGGAGATCTTTTTTTGTTAGATGATCTAACATTCTTGCATCTACCAAGCATTCCATAAAGTAGCTTCTGTACTGAGGTAATCCCAAGCTGGGAAGCCATTCATTTCCAATCCACTCGTGGTTCATATCTCCATAAGCCAGGGTCTGTAGAAAAACCGGACACTAAAATTGTTTTATAGCAGTCAAGTTTCTTAACCAATAAAATGAGATGGTAATTGGGGACTATTCCCTATTATTATAACTGATATTTAATTAATATGATGCATGGAAACAAAGCAGACATGATATTCAGACTGTAAGTATGTGATTTGATACAAAATGGAACTTTGTATACATTTATCAAAGTATTTGCCTATTGAAAATGGTTGACTATTTGCTTTGTATTATCAAAAGGAACTACATTTTGTTCAAATATGTATTTTGCTAAAAAAAAAGAAGTTACAATTAGAAGTATAATACAAATTCTGAGCTTTAAGATTCTGTTTTTATGTTGATAGGCTTATTTTATTTGTGTATCTGTCGGCTCTACTATTTTTCTCTTATCAATGCTACTATTGCCATTGCTACAGTGAAATGGAAAACCTTGATGTGAAATAGGAACCTCAGTAGATAGAAAAGGAGGGACAGAATTTTGAAGCGTTATATTAACTTGTTACCTAGCAAAGCAGGTAGCCAGCTTTCCATAAAAATCATAAAAAGAATTAAAATATTCTTCTAGAAATCAGTCAATATAGACTTTATACTTGAAACAGGGCATGATCAAAAACTAAGATAGATAATCTAATTCTTTAATATAACAATATGAACTGTTATTGCCAAATACTGTTCAAATCAGCTAAAATGAAATTCAAAGCAACCATTACCACTAAAACAATTATTACCAAAAAAACCTCTTAACTCTATTTCCCAGAATTCTTGTTAGTTCCTTATCATGCCTTAAATTCACAATCCTAATTATAAAATGTTTTTCTAGTGAAAGCATAGGTGGGCCTCTTCTTCTGTGTGTTCTTAGGATTTATAAAAATTTTTACCAAAATCAAAATGTAATACAACCCAAAGTTACTGCATCTTTAAATATAAGCCCTACTATAACTACCAAAATTTTTCTTGTATTGAAAGATTTGAATCACACTGACTTTAACACACATTTATTTATTCTTTCAGTTAGCAACGTATGGAACTGTTCCAAAAACTGCACAGCTTCCATGCAAACATATATGTTTGTTCCAAGCGCAGATGTTTATCTAACATGGCCATTTATAAATGGAAGCGACTCTGATTGGTCTGCAATGTTGACACTCATAACTTCAACCCCAACTCATATACCTTCCATTATTAACTCATGGTATGTGGAACTCCAAATAAGACTTTTCTTTCTTTTTATTCCTCCCTTGGATCACCTTGAATGATTCCTGATTAAATATATTAAGGTGTGATTTCAGAGAAATTTAAGTTATAGATCATTCTTTTGGGGAAGAAAGAAAATTGCCCTTTTAAAAGAGGTCAAGTATGAAATGCTAATCATTTTATTTATAATATAGAGCTATTTAAGAAGTAGGTAAAATATTAAACATAATGTAGGTTTATGTATATATATCAGCTTATATTGAGCTAAGTGAAAGTTTATTATATGATATTATAGTTTTTAAATTTATAGCCTGATAGCCTACCAAATAAATGATATTAATTATCTTAAAGCATATGAATTTCCTACCTGGGCCCAGCTTCCTTCCTCAGATTCTTTCTGTGTTAGCAGCAGGAAATGATTAATAAAGCAGGGTAAATACAAGTTAATTTCAAATGAATACAGTACAATTTTTCAGGCAAAAGCAAAATTGTTATACAAAGTGTTAATTATTATGACTCAAATTGATAAATACATAGTTTCTTACTCAGATCCACAGTGATCAAGTACATAGTTTTCAATTAATTATAATTTACATTTTAAATTCATGTGTTTACAAACATTTGATTTGGCTGTTCCTAATATTTTCTAATACTTAAAAATGTATAATTTTCCTCATGTAATGTGTTATATTAAAAAATTTCTGATTACATATGTGTATATAAATATATATATAAAAATATACATATGTTGGAGAAATTTTATATAAAGTAAATTAGTGAAGTGAGAAAAAACTGTATTTCTCCAATAAAGCTTTGTGGTAATTAAATAGATTTCAGTAACAGCCATTACAACAAACAAGACAAAAACCAAGTACAACACAACCAAACTAAAGATGAAATTATTACACAACATTGACATTTTTATCGATCATAAACTTGTAGATAATTTTAAAGTAGGAATAAAACTGAAAGGACATTAAATTTAAAAGAAGTTGCTAAAGATAAAATATATACTATGTACAACTTCATTCCCTTTACATGAAAAATGACTATATATGACATCATATTTTAAAAAGTGACGACTAGAGGGTCCCCATGGAATTCTTTAAAACTGGGCTCTGAATACCACATTAACATGACCCCCCCCTCCTTTTTTCCTGTCAAGCTCTGTACCTGAGACAAGAAACTACATGATTATATTAATAATGAGTATTCTTTACCAATTTAATTTGATTGGTCAATTCTATTACCAATTTAATTTGATTTGGAAACCTGTTTTCTTTGTGAACATGCCCAATACTAAGTGATATTTGTTACCCCAAATTTCCAATATTGCAAAATGAATATATAAGTTGTATTAAATTATTGTTTCACATTGGCATATTATAAACTCTTAATAAATTAACCACGTTATGACAATTCAATACTTTCATTTAAAAATATCAAGCGAGTATAGTAAAATAAATCTGTGAAAAAAGATATCTTTGCATAGAGCTATATAAACACTCCCTATTACTCTGGTCTACAGTAAGCAAATTAGTTTTTTCACCCAAATAGTAGCAAAATAATTTTGCTTCACGTTCAACAAAGCCATAAAGACTAACCGTTTTTGCTGGAGCTGCAAGATTTTCCATTTCTTCGTGAGTCACCCAAACGTTGCCTGAAGGCTAGTGAGAAGGCCCAGAGGGAAGCAGTGGATTCCATGGGAGGGAAGCAGTGGTAGAGAAGAAAGGCAGCACTTGTGTGAGTTAACAGTACCACAGCAACACCCAGTGCCCTGCCTCTACAGTGAGCACCAGGGAGACAGCATGGCTTGTTTGCTCTGAGCTCTTTTTCTCTTCCACCCAAAAAGATTAAATAGAAAGAGGAGTGGTATAAAGCTCAGGGGTGAAAGGTAGATTTATAATGATACTTCTGATTATTAATCAGAAAAAGGGCATGGTCAACATTTGTAGTACAAAAGCATGTGGCTAGAAAATCCATTTTTGTAACAATGGAGGACTATTTATATTTGATGCGTAGAAGAATGTAATTTTATTATTTTTCTTCTGTAAATGATGGCGTATGTTCTATGTTGCATTATTACCAAAATTCCTTTCACATAATTTTGATTCTTCAGTGTTCTTGGGAGGAGAAAATTGGTGGTCAAATACAAAGCCAGAAGCACCTATCTGAAAGTCAGCATTAACGTTTCTCAAATTTCTTTTTTTTTTCTTTTGCAATTCAGTAAATATGTTGTGCTCCTGTACTCTTACAGATGAAAAAGATGCCATTTCTGATTTAATCAAAGGTATTTGTCACCCTTACCAAATACTGTCAAATTACAAAACCTATATACTTCCTAGTTCTTCGTTCTTATAAAGAGAAATTTTCTGTCTAGCAATCACTATTCTATTATAAAGTTCCATTAGCATTCTAAACAAAGCACCGCTTGATAGTGTTCTGTACACTTAATAACGTACAACTTCTAAAGCAAAGCCCATTTAGTAATATACAGATCAGGCATAACATAGATGGTACTGGCTACCTGGAAGCAGTTGTCATCAAACTCCTCCATGTATTTATGAACATTGCACACTTGCTTGAGCACATCAATAGAATTTACTTGCTATGTATTATCTACCACTTGTTTTGGGATGGGTCCAGTTTTAAAGAATTTCAAGCAGTAAAGTTGTTATCCAGATACCATAAGTTATCTCCACAATTCATTTTTGCCTTTTCACCATTCTCTTAATATTATGTTAAACTTTCCCTGTGTTATAATAATATAATTCAATATAATTTAATATGTAACTATATGTAAGCTAAATTGATTAGTATACTTTGATATATGTGAAATCTCATATGTTCATTTATAAACAGTCATGCAACGAAAATGACCTTTCAGTCAACAATTAACTGCATATACAACATCAGTTCCATAAGAGCATAATGAAGTTGAAAAATCCGTATCATTTAGTGATGTCATAGCCATTGTGATGCAAAGTATTACTCACTGCCTGCTCTGTATATCACTAAGTGGGCTTGGGTTTAGAAGTTATGCATTATTAAGCCTATAGAACTAATATCAAGGAGTATTTTATTCAGAAAGTAAATGGAACTTTATAATAGAATAGTGCTTGCTAGAGAGAAACTTTCTTTTCATGCTATATTCTTCTTTATAATGGTATTGGATACTGTGAAGAATTAGGAAATATATAGGTGTCATGTTTGTGGTGATGCTGTTGAAAACAGACTTACTAGTTGACAGTTGTATAAAAGTATAGCACATACAATTATGTACAGCCCATAATACTTAACTATGATAATAAATGACTATGTTACTGATTTGTGTACTTACTATTCTATACTTTTATCATTATTTTACAGTGTACTCATTCTATGTGTAAAAATAAAAACAAAAAAGTTAACTGTAAAACAGCCTTAGGAACGTTCCTCAGGTGGTGTTCCAGAAGAAGGCATTGTTATCATAGGATCTGACAGTTCTTGTGTCTTATAGCCCCTGAAAACCTTCCAGAGGGACAAGATGCAGAGGTGGAAGACAGTGATATTGATGATCTATAAGCTTACAGAATAAGGATATAAAGAAAGAAAATATTTTTGTTCAACTGTAAAATGTGTTTGTGTTTTAAGTTATGTGTTATTTCAAAAAAGTCAAACGTTTGTTAAAATAAAGTTTGAAAAGTAAAAATATTACAGTAAGTAAGGCTGATTTATTATTGAAGAAAAAAATTTTAAATAAATTTAGTGTAGCCTAAGTGTTTATAAGTCTATAGTGCTTATAGAATCCACAGTAGTGTGCAGTAATATCCTGGGCCTTCACATTCACTTACCACTGATTCACACAGAGCAACTTGGAATTCTGCAAGCTCCATTCATGGTAAGTGTACTATTCAACTGTACCTATTTTTATCTTTACACCATATTTTTACTGTAACTTTCCTATGTTTAGATATACAAATACTTATCACTGTGTTGAAATTGCCTACAGTATTCACTACAGTAATAGGCTGTACCGGTTTGAATCCTAAGAGCCTAGACATAGAGCCTAGGTGTGTAGTGGCTATATCACCTAGGTTTATGTAAGTACCCTGTGATGTTCTCACAGTGATAAAATGGTCTCGTGACACATTTATCAGAATATATCCCAGCCATTAAACAATGTATGACAGTATAAATATTTGAGTGACAAAGGCAGTTGGGTAATAAAAATTCATATAAGTAAATTATATGGGCAAAAAATTCCAAAGGCTAGGCATCCTTCACATCTATCTATACCTATATCTATATCTATATCTATATCTATATCTATATCTATATCTATATCTATATCTATATCTATATCTATATCTATATCTATATATCTATAATTCTTCTACCACATTTTGAATTTGGAGTATGAAGGAATTTCTTCCTATAAGATAATTCTGTGCACATCTATAAAATGAATTTAGAATACAAAACCCATCCATGTTATTCAAAGCCCCTCCCCTCTACTCCCAGCTTCTAAGAATGATGCTCTATAAACAAAGTTGCATATGAATATATAAAACACTAAATCACTTGGAAGAAATTGATTGTATTGACTTGATGAATGAACTATGCCAAAAATAACTACACTCATCTGTCACATTCCTTCTATATCCAGTGATTATGGTGCTTTCCTTGAGTGACTGTATTGTTTGTTCAAAGTCAGTTTCAGTGGTGAGAGGACATTCATTTAAGCCACTCAAATGGTTTAAGCTTGAAAGACAGTGTAAAATTAATTTTACACTGATTCCTGTGGCTTCTACTTTGATTCTGAATCCAAATGATGAAGATCATACTCCTTCTATAAGAAACTTCCCAGCCGAGCTCGGTGGCTCAGCCTGTAATTCCGCACTTTGGGAGGCTGAGGTGAGTGGATTGCCTGAGCCCGTGGGTTTGAGACCCACCTGGGCAACTTGGCGAGACCTCATCTCTACAATAAATAAAAAAATCAGCCAGGCGTGGTAGCGCGCGCCTGTAGTTGCTACTTGGAAGGCTGAGGCGGAAGGATCGCCGGAGCCCAGCAGGTCGAGGCTGCAGTGGCCGGGAGCGGCCACTGTACTCCAGTCTGGGCGGCAGACAGAGACTCCAACTCAAAAAAAAAAAAAAAAAAAAGAAAGAAAGAAAAAAGAAAAGAAACTTCCCATATTATCTCATACTTGAATAGATACATGCAAAAATCTCTTTCCTAGATATCTTTAATTCTGTGTTTGCTAGTCTGTCACACTATATTCTGGGTTGGGGAAGATGCTGGAAGCTATTGTTTTATTTGTATTTTTGCATGCAGTATGAATATATATCCAGGGCAATTTTCTAAAGTATGGTTGGCAACTTCCAGAAGTTGTATGGTAATCATTTGCTTTTGATGTGTGGCTGTACTTATAAGAAGCATTACCTCAACCCTATGGTCTTGAAAAGTAACCCATGAAATAGCTTCTACACAACCCAATCAAGTAGATACTAGTTGAGGTTTTTAATGAGATTGTTTTATAAGTAAGTCCATATGTAGTAAGTCAATTATTCAATTCAATTGCTTTCTTTTCACCACCAGTTTGGGGAAGAAAGTTTCCTCTGGTTAAGTAATGAAGAAATAATCTAGAGCATGAGTTTGAAAGAAGAGCATCCCTAATAAAATAGCTAGACTGAGAGGCTTTGAGCATCCAAAGGGCATGAGCTGCCATGGAGCTGGGGATAAAGAGAGGGCAAAACATAGGCTGGAAAAGGACACACATCATATAACTTAGTTGTGGTTCTCTAAGAGACCCTAAAATCGTCTACACACTGACTTTGGCAGTCTGTGCTGCAACCTTCCAATAATGTCTGAACTGAAAAAACCAACAAAGCAGTCATTCGTTGTGGCTAATATCTGAGTCTAACAGGTGATTTATAAAATTTTAAGTATAATTGCCAAATTATAAACAGGGGGGCTTGAGATATAGCAGTACCTAAACCTCTCTAAATTTCAAATTCCACATCTCTTTAATGGGACTAAAAGGAGAGGCTTCATACTAGAAAAAAAATATTGAAAAGTTTACACTATGTCAGAATATGTTAAAATGCAGGAATGAAACCAGGATGAGGCAAGTGAGGTCTCAAGAGGCTAAATGTAAGGAAGCACTCACATCTAGGGTCCTGCAAGTGCAGGGTGGGCACCTCACAATGAGAGCCTCCTTCAGTTTTGTGCTTGTGATGACTCGCTTGCCTCCCCTTAATCCAGACTGAATACAATATTTTGAAAGTGTTATCGAAAGGAACGGAGAAGAAAATCTAAAGGATATCAAGAACTAAAGTACTTCCCTTAAATCATTCCAGAAAGAGTTATGATAGAAAAATAAATATTAAAATAATCTTAAGAAATAACTCATGAAAATTAATTTAGGGAGAAATAATTAGTTTTCTGGCTGTCAGAGATACAGAAGAAGTAAAGCAGCCAGACCTCAGAATAATCCCATTATCTTACCTAGTTCAAAGTAACTTTTGTTACTATTTAGGTCATTTTGAAGTATTTTGTTTTTTGCTTTAAAATTGAATTACAAAATAGTAACTCAAAGTTTACTTTTCACATTCAAATGGCATGGATTCACATTTCTCCCTTGTCTGAATTTTTGTTTCTTATTATAAGAGAAATCTGTCTCATTAT